AGATAGATACTTTATTTATCCCTATTGAATAATGAGGTGTAATGAATCTAAATACACTTTTATCCGTTTTTGGTATTTTTTGGTTAACCTGATTCACAGCAGTTGATAAGGAGAACATGTAAACACATGTCACTGCTGTCTGCTGTCACTAAGCAACGTACCTCGGCGTCCTTGACTTTGCAAGGGTTTCTGGGAAACTGAGGCCCGAGGGTTGAACGACCGCCCTTTTCGGAGCAACGAGAGTAGAACCGCGCTACATGCGTCGAGGGTAATACTATCGTAAAACAACTTTCTGAAGCAGCGTAGCCCAACTTGAGGTGTGTATACCGATGGTTTTTAACACGTGTTTGGACCCACGGGCGTTAAAAGGAGGAAAATGTGTCTGGGAAAAGTGTATTTTAATGCGCGGTTTGATGACGTAATGTTGATAGTCAAAACGCGAAATGGCGAGCGTGCTAGGAGGCCCGTTACCTGCGACACTGCGGCTCCGTACCATCTTTATTTCCCTCATGTTGCAGTGTCGAAACCATTACATAGGTGTGCCGTGTCCTGGTAGGTTGGGCTTCGGTTACATGTACCGCTCGGGTGTGTTAAATGTCTTATTTTGTAGTTGTGTGTTGTGCTAGTTGAGCTAACACGTAACTAGCCGGAGTGGCGGAGCTGTTGACGTTCAACAACCATGTGTCGGGTCAGTGGTTGAATTACACGCCACTCGTTAAAATGTACCAGCGGGTGTTTTCACTGTTTGTTCACTTTATTTCGGAGTTTACGGCGTCGTTTAAGGGTTCACCCGGGTGGAAAGGTTGGTAGTGATGTGGTTGTCCTGGGCCCCCATCTTGACTTCCTCGTTCTGTGCATGTAAAGCCTCTCTGCTCCTACAGCCTTCCTTCATTGTTTACATGCAGGCCGGCTAGCTGTGCCCTACAACTGCAAATTCACTGGTCAGAATTTTAAATGCATTCACTTGAGGTTAAATTAGCTTAATCTGGTTCTCTTCACACCAATATCTTTATTTTTTTTTTGCTTACTCGCTGTGTGAGAGGTGCAGAGGTACAAAGCTCTATAGTAACTCTGAAGTCACCTGTAAAGGGACATGTTAGATTGGTTACCTGTTGCTTGCCAATACAGGGGAACCAGAGCGAGTAGGAGATGTGTAAATGCAATGAGAGAATATGTGTGTATAAGTGGCAGTCGTTGTTTCACTGTGTCATATTGGACAGTGTGAGGCTCAATCAGACCTGTAGTGAGGCCAAGTCGAGAATATAAATAGTCTCTTCTCATCACTACGGTAAGACATTAAGTGTGAGAAATGAAAAGTTTGCAAAGACAAATGTCTTGACAGGTGGCATCTGTCACACAAACTATTTCCCAAGGGGTCTGATCAGAGAGAATATCACTGTAGGTGCGATGTACATGAAAATCTGTAGCCTAAAAATTAGTGTTGTTGGACTGGTGTGAACTTCTGTGTTAGAAAAGGAGGTTGGAGTTGTTTTTAGTGTAAACTATTCTCAAAACTGTACCTCTTGTTTCTAATAATGCACCAAAACAACAAGGACATTTGTAATTTGTCTTTGTCTCACACCTTATTAAGAATCATGTGTCCATCTTCCTCTTTTGCATGCAGAGAGGGATACGGTCAATAATGGCGGCTGAGGTGGACGTGGAGGTGGACGGAGGCAACGAGTACCCAGCACATTACAAAGTCATGATGGACAAACTCAATGAACAACGGCAGCTGGACCAGTTCACAGACATTACCTTGATTGTAGATGGTAAGTAGGCACTCATCTTTATGACGTCTTAGTGAAATTCTTAATCAGTGATTCTTATTTGCATGTCTCTTGCCTCTTGCAGGACACCAGTTCAGAGCCCATAAAGCAGTGTTGGCAGCATGCAGTCAGTTTTTCCATAAGTTCTTCCAGGATTTTACCCAGGAGCCACTGGTGGAGATAGAAGGTATTCTGTGTTTCACTTATGTTTTAGAAAAAAAGTAGTCAAACATCTCTTTCCTTTTTTTGCAGCTATAGATATATTTTCCTCTGTTTGTTACTATGTTATGTTACGGCT